GGCTGAAGGGAAGAGCCAGGCAAGAGTGGGTGGGTGTCAGGCTGGAGAGGCAGGCAGGGGCCGGTCATGCTAATATCATTATATAAATTAAGGCAACCAACCCAATGGGAGAAGATATTTGCAAACGATAATTCCGATAAGGGGGCTGATAGCCAAAGCATATAAAGAACTCATACAACTCCACAACAGAAAAAGAGTCTGAATAAAAAATGGGCAAAGGACCTGCACAGACAGTTCTCCAAGGGAGACATAAGGTAGATGGCCAACGGATCCATGACAAGATGCTCCACACCACTATTAGGAGGGAAAGGTAAATCAAAACCACAATGAGATACTACCTCCCAGCCGTTAGAATGGCTGTTACCAATTAGACAAGAAACAGCAAGTGTTGAAGAGGATGTGGAGAAATCTTACATTTTTAAAGCTCATTTCAGGATGTGGTGTGAGAACCAATGGCGGGCAAGGTGCGAGGGGGCTCCTGTGGTTGTCCAGGCAGCACGTGGTGGGCACATGGGAGGTGCTATGGATGTTAACTGTGTGAATATATTGAATATATTGAAGCCCAAACACCTAATGTGATCATTGGAGCTGGACCTTCAGGAGGTAGTTAGGTTAAGATGAGGTCATGGGGCAGGGGGGCGGGGCTCATATTGGGATTGGTGCCTTTATAAGAAAAGACACCAGAGAGTTCACTTGGGAGTGAGACAGACGTGAGTTCGATTCCTGGCTCTGCCACTTCCTATGGGGTGATGCTGGGTGGCACTCTGCACTTCCATTTCCTGCTCTGGGACTTGGTGGGAGAGGCGTCTGCTGGGCCTGCGTGGTGTGGGGAGGAGAGGATGGGGCGCGGTGGGGGTCCACGCCACGTGTGCGGTGGCTGCTGACAGGGAAGCTGGCTGCCGCTGTGGGCTTAGGTCAGGCTGTCACTTGATGGGCAGGATCCACCAGAATTTGGAAAGAAAGAGGTTCCAGTAGCTAAATTCAGTGCAACAACCGGCTAGAAACAGATAAATGGCTGGCTGTTGTCCAGACCAGGAGACCAAATCCATGGGCCAGATGCTGGGCCAAGCATTTTCCCTTCCTTCATTTAAGCCTCCTAACAGTGCCTCGGGCAGGTACTATGCAAGCCAGTGCACCAGGGAGCAAGCAGAGGCAGAGAGGGAAAGTTCTGGAACCCAGGCCTTTGATGGGCGTGAGCACCTGCCTCTGTGCTTTCTGGATCATAGGATGCATCCTACTGTCGTAAGGGAGCTCGGAGCTCCAGGTCCTGGTGAGCAGGGCAGGGCCAGAGAGCCAGGCACCAGCCCAAGACCACGCAAGCCTGTGCAGCGCTCGGGGGCCTGGGAGGGCAGGGCCAGGGAGCTGGGCACGGAGCGGCTCCGCCTACCTGCCTGGTTCGTGGTGATGTTGACCACGGCGGCCTGGCGGGGCTCGGGGCTCAGGTCCGACACGCCGTTGACGGCCTCGATCCAGAAGGAGTAGTTCATGTGGGCCAGCAGGTTGGCCACCAGCAGGCTGGCCTGCACCAGGCTGGTCTGCTGGGGCACGAAGCGGGTGCCGCTCCCGCACTTTTCGCAGTGGCCCAGCGCCCAGGGGCAGCGGCGGCACACGGCGTTGTAGGTGATGTCGCTGCGGCCGCCCGGGTCCAGTGGAGGGGCCCACTCCAGGGTCACAGAGGTCCCATTCACACTGGAGATGAGGTTCACTGGTGCTGAGGGTGGCCCTGGGCGCAGAGAATAACAGGGGGAGGAGGGTGGAGGGTATTTATTTGGGGTGGTCCAGTTCCCCCCACAGACCAGAGAAGGTCTCGGGATCTCCCATGATATTTGGGGTTCCCTAAGGATAAGGTCACACCTGCTCTATGGTCTAGAACAGTGGTTCTCAACCTTCCTAATGCCGCGGCCCTTTAATACAGTTCTTCATGTTGGTGACCCCCAACCATAAAATTATTTTCGTTGCTACTTCATAACTGTAATTTTGCTACTGTTACGAATCGTCATGTAAATATCTGATATGCAGGATGTATTTTCATTGTTACAAATTGAACATAATTAAAGCATAGTGATTAATCACAAAAACAATATGTAATTATATATGTGTTTTCCGATGGTCTTAGGCGACCCCTGTGAAAGGGTCGTTCGACCCCCAAAGGGGTCGCGATCCACAGGTTGAGAACCGCTGCTCTAGAAGCATAGGGTGGAGTCTGTGTCTGCCATTGGACTAGGACCACAGGGTCCCAGTCTGTCACAGAAATCTAGGGCCCCCCCTTCCTCCGCTGGACAACAGGGCGCCTGGGGCTTGTGCTTCCAGCGGTTTCATAAGAGCCGGAAAGAGACTGCATGGCCCTGGGGTGCCCACAGCAGCCTCTCTGGGGGTGAAACATCCCAGTCATTGGTGCCCACACTCCACTCCTTAGCCCCCTGTGCTGAACGTCATGTTAATGCCACCGAGCACTTGGCTAGAGCGGAGTGAGGCCCCAGGAAGCGCAGTGGGTGTCCCCAAGCCCTCCCTCCCCCCAGATGAGAGCCCCCATCTGGGCAGCAGGGAACCCTGGAAAGAGCGGTGGGGCCGGGGTGAGCCCCTGAGGACGGGGATTGAAGCCTTGGAGCCAGGAGAGCCTGGGTGGGGGCGGGGCTGTGGAGACCCCTGGGCCTCAGAATTCCAACCCTCAGAATCCCAGGAAGGCAATCTTAGATCTTAAGAAAAGAGAATGGTGGAATCTCAGAATCATGGAGAATCTTCGATCTGAAGGGTCTGGAACACTAAAAGCCCAGCCTTAAGATGTCTGGAGCCCTGTCTGTGAATTTGGAGAGAAACCCGAGTCTAGGGCAAGTGTCAGTGACCTAGACAGGCTGGGCTCTCCTGGGCCGGGAGCCCAGAGATGTCACCATGTCCCTCAGCCATCCATTCTGCCCCGGCAGGTCCCACAGGCACAGGTCTGCACAGGAATGCACAGGAATGGGCAGAATGGTGGAGGGAGGGAGTGTGTGTGTGTGTGTGTGTGTGTGTGTGTGTGTGTGTGTGGGTATGAATACACTTGGGCCCTCACTTGCCTTGTGCAAAGAGCCTGGGGCTGGGTGGTGATGAAGGTGGGGGGCAGGGGAAAGATGGGGATCAGGGTTGGGGTTAAATTTCTGGGGACAAAATCGGTCAGAACCGGTGTGGAGTCCGCCTTCGTCCCCACCACAGGAGCCCAGGGCTTGGCAAGTCGGGGGGGCTGTGCTGGCTGCAG